ACAAATATTTGTAGGTATTATAAATGATAAATTTAAATAATACTAACATTAGAATTTGAAATTTAGAATTTGGGATTGGGATTATAGGATTTGGGTGGGATATGGGATTGGGATTGGGATGGGATGGGATGGGATTTTAAAAGAAAGGGTATGGGTATCAACTATACGTAGTGATCACGTGATCATAATATACTTTTTAATATTTAGCAGTTTAAAAGCATTTAAAACGTGTATGCTACATGCGGATAAATAAAAATGTATTGTGTAAAAACAATAAAATAATACTAATCGAAATAAAATTTGATGATAAATCACGGGCGACACATTAGTAAACATGATATAAATAATTTTATGATTGATATTCAAGGCCTGAATATTTAAACGGAGATTTGGAATATTTATAAACTAATGATTATACTGGGTGAAATAATGCGATTTTTCCATGTTTAAACGTTTTATTTTATGTATAATAGTAAGTAAAATAATATAAACTATTTACCTACAATTATTAAAAAAAATTCACCAATCTAAAAATCTCCATTTCATCAATAGTAAAATTATTTGAATCTAAAATTTCACGTTCATAATAGGCTCGTTTGCACTTACCTGTTACAATATTATCAATATTTAATAAATCAAAAAAAGGATTTTCAACATGATTATTTCGAATGTTGATAACCAAATCACTATTACCAAAATTTATAGACATATTTTGAAAATTCGATTCATACATTGCTCTGTTTCTGTTTACAACTCGACTAATCTTAAAATTTTTCCAATCGTTTCCATCACCTAATGAAAAAATAAAACTTTCGCTAGTTTCAGCCCAATAAAATTTTGTTATAGCCATTCTGTTCTGATTTGAAATACTATTCCAACCGAGAGGATTATATCCACCAATTATAGCTTTACCTTCTTTGATTTTAATAACCAAAATACATGCACCATGTTTATCACATTTACTACGTATCGTATTGATATCATAACCATCTCTACTTTTACGATAAATCAAGTCAAAACTATATTTATTATCCTTTGGAATTCTTGCATTAGGATCTTTTCTTTGAATCCAATTGGCAAGGATGACCGCATGCTTTGGTTTAATAATTGATGAGCCAATAGCAACATTTCCATGACGAGGAGTCAATTTATTTTGCTTAGGTTCAATGTTTGACATATGAAACGACAAAATATCTTCAACGAGTACTTTGGGTAACACTTTCTTAAAAGGCCAAACTTTGCCATGAAAATCTTTTGCAGAAATTTCGAAGAAACGGATATGTGTGATAAATTGGTTCAAAGTATCCTTCAAAACCAAGAAATCCTTTTTATTCCAACTACCTAAATTAGAAGTGTTTTTCCCTCTCAATTCCGAACTTTGAGCGATTCCCCATTTAATAAGATTATTCCATAATTCAATTTCATCGATTTTTAATTCTTCTTTTATAACTAATTCAAGTAGAATGTTTTTTTCTAATGTTAGAACATTAGGAGAATTAAAAAATGGTTCAGGATCATCACAAATCGTTTCTAAACAATAACTTTTGAGTTGTTTACAGTTTTCTAGTTTGAAAATCGTGTGAAGGACCTTAACAAAATTTTGTTTTAACCATTCAGTTTTTTGTTTAATCAAATAATTTTGAACAAATGTAACTAATTCATCAAGAAGTAATTCATCGGATGCCACGATAAGATCAAGGATATCAGAACAAGATTGCTCCTTCAAGTAAAGATTACCTGTGTAAATGTATCTAAACAGAAAAAATTAAAACGCGACATTTAATAGGCGAAAGAATTTAGTGTTCTATAGGTCAATAATATGTAGGGATTGTTACCTCATAATCATTTTAAAAACATTAGGAGAGACATTTGGTTTTGTAAAGTTTATCATGTTTTTATTCTTTGTAACCCAATCCTTTGAAAGAGCTCGATCAAAATATGGAGAGCGTGCTCTCAAGATATCAGAATGTGCATGAAATTCCTTTGTATTGGAATCCTCTCCAACTTTGATAATAACATTATAATCACGTGCATCTTCAAGCAATTGATATAAGTTTTGAAACAATCTAGATTTAAATTCGAAAGCCATTAAAAATTTCACCGTTCCGTAAGATTCTAGTTTATAAAGAAAAATAAAGTGATTAATAATGAGTATAGAAAATTCGTCGTCATCATGACATTATTTCCAAATTTAGTTACAGTACATCCGGTTAAATTAAAAAGATAATCGTTAAATGTGGGAAAAAAAAAAATTAAACATTACAAATCATTATTACGACATGTTATCTGAAATTTATCTTACCCAAAATTTAAATATATTATATAAACGATGGACGAGTTTTTTCTAGATAGATTTTATTTCTCAATACGTTAAACAACACTTGATTAAATAAAATTTACATCATGGTTACCTAATATTAAACCTTCGGCTTATCATTCCTTTGTTTATAAAGATAAACGTCCGACGATATTTTCAATATTCGAAAATATTAAAAATATTAAATGACGGCGTCGATCTGGGGATAATTAACGTTATGTCACACAAAGTTCTAATAATCTATTATAAAAAGTCGGGTGGTAATGCCTAATTTTATTATCAAAAGAGACTCTTTAATCCAATACTTTCTATTTTTTATTCACACATTTATCATTTTATGGTTCCCAGGAAACGAATATAATAACCTGTTTATGCACCAATAACCTTTTTTTCGGGTTTCAACATAGTTAAACAACCCACCGACAAAATGGATGAAACAACTAGAAAGAATTTCTAAGGCCGTTCAGGTAATCTATATAATTAAACCGAACATTTTTAACATACCGATTTCCTGTAGGAGCTTACCGTCGGACCTGCAACCGCCAAAAATGAAAAAAAAAGAAACAGAAATTTGCGAAACTGCTAGAAATAACAAAATCGCAAAAAAAAGTTTGAAAGACGAGGGTAGAAAAATTGAAGGTATTTCGATCAATGAGTCACACGAGTTATGCTCTAACAAAGGAAGAATCAGAGAAATGCAAAGTTTCATGGGGCAATTTCTCCGAATATATCCTGTGGGAGGCGTTGCAAGATAAACCAAGGAGAACGTGTAAACTTATACAGCCACAATATCAACGTTAAACCCGTGCATCATCAGTCAAAAACTCATAGGTATCGCAACAATACACCCTTGGTAGTTTAAATGTTCGCAAGTGAAACCGTTTAGCATGTTGCAGATTCTATTTACAATGGGCCACTGTAAAGTATCAATGTAAAATCAGTTCTTTATGAATATGTTACTGCTAATTTCTAGTTTTAAAAGTTTAAGAGTTAACTCTTTGGAAATACCCCTGGCCAGAGGGTTCGAGACTTTGGCTTTGACCAGATCATATTACATATGATATTTGCTAAATTGAGAAATCTCAAAAGAAGATCCAGAAGAAAGGAAGAAAAGAACAGCAAGAAATAATATCATAATCTTATCATTTAAGAAATTAGCTGTTTCCGTTTGACTGCTCAATAAATTGCATTTAATATGTTTCATAAATTATGGTTAATTATCCATAATAAAAGCTTTCACAGCCCCCTCCATGGATTTCACGAGCTACAGATAATCAATAGACATCAGCTATTTTTTGCTTAATATCAATATCAAACAAATATAACCACCCCATGAATACAGAAAATTTTCACTCATTGGACCAGTAACAAAAAAGAAGCGGAAAGAACTCAAAATGGTATATTTTTCAACAAGTTTATCGAGTTCATGATTAGATAATAAGATTAATCGTTTATTGTGCAGATAACGTTTATCTGACGCATTTCAATATTTTTAAATGATTTATGTGGGTAATGTTAGTGATATTACAATGGTCATGATACATTGGGTTGTTCCATCAACTATGTAAATCGAAACATTGTTATTGTGAAGCATACATATCGAACCTAATTAATTGCTACTATTATTACGATTTTTCCTAATAAAAAAATTTTAAATTTTTAACGTTTAATTCTTCGGTATATGTTAGCATTCAGACAAAAAAAAACTGTAAATGAATAATTTATAACCTAAAAAAAAATGTGACACCTCGCTTTCTTGAAAACAACAAAGAAAAAAATTTTTTATTTAGAGGGATGTGTACAAAAAAATTATTTATTATTTCTTGAAGCGTAAATAATATTTTTTGAAAAAACGAGCAGTTAAATGAATTAGAATGTTTTTGTAAAATTTGGAGCGAAGATATTAAGAAGAATTTAAAGTAATTAAAGTCTAAAAATTTATAGATTTTAATGAGAAGATTATTATAAAGCAAATTTAACCTATCAGAGATACTTAACAATGTTTTGATTTTCATAGTTGATGGAACGCCCAATGATACATATAGCTTAAAGGAAGATGCTATCAGTATCACGTTACGGATCTCATGACATTAAATATATCAAGAACAACAACTATTTTTGAATGGAACCACAATAAATAAAGTTTATTATAGTAGAAAATACATAAAAGTAAACAATTTTATGTTATTCTCGTAATAAACAATAAATGAACTTAATTATTCAGTTTGATAAAATCTAAAAATCTCCATTTCTTCGATAATAAAATCATTTGAATCTAAAATTTGACTCTCATAATAAGTTTGATTGCAATAACCAGTATCATCTTTGATAACCAAATCACTATTACCAAAATTTAATGGTATATTTCGATAATTCGATTCATAAATTGCATTACTTTCATCTACGACTCGACTAATCTTAAAATTTTTCCAATCGTTTCCATCACCAAATGAAAAAATAAAAGTTTCACTAGTATTAGCCCAGTAATAATAATTACTATATTTAAAAATAGTATCATGAGTATGCTGAATACAATCATTCCAACCAAGTGGATTATATCCTCCAATTATAGTACCATCCTCTTTGGTTTTAATAACCAAAACGCATGCACTTTGTCCATTACACTTGTTACGTATAGTATTGATATCATGACCATCTCTACTTTTACGATAAATCAGGTCAAAATTATATTTATGATCCTTTGGAATTCTCGCGATAGAATCCTTTCTTTGAATCCAATTTGAAATGATGGCCGCATGTTTTGGTTTGATAATTGATGAATCAATAGCAACTTTTCCATGACGAGGACTCAAATCATTTTGTTTAGGTATAGTATTTGCGTTATAAAATGATTCGATATCTTCAAAGAGTGATTGAGGCAACAACTTTCTAAAAGGTAGAATTTTACTATGAAATTCTTCTGAAGAAATTTCAAAGAATCGAATATGTGCGATAAATTTGTTCAAAGCACTTTTTAAATCAATAAAATCCTTTTCACTCCAACTACTTAAATTCGTCACGTCCTTTTCTCTCAAATCAAAAGTTTGAGCCATCCCCCATTTAATAAGACAATTCCATAATTCAATTTCATCAATTTGTAAATCTTCTCTTTGAACTAATTCAAGCACGATACTTTCTTCCAATAGAAGAAGTTCTGGAGAATTAAAAAACGGTTCCGGTTCGATACAAATAGTTTCAAAATAATAATTTTGGAGTTGTTTACAATTTTCTAGTTGGAAAACCGTTTGAATGATCTTAAAAAAATTTTTTTGTATCCATTCAGTTTGATTTTTAATCAGATAATCTTGTACAAAGATTAACAATTCATCAAGAAGTAATTCATCGGATGCGATGATAAGATCAAGAATGTCAGAGCCATCTTGCACGTTCAAATCTAGTACACCAGCATACATATATCTAAAAAAAATTTGTAAAAGTTAGTGATCGATTGCTTTTCTTTTTTGTAATTAAAAATCAGCAAACATTTGGTAAGATTAAAATTTTATGAAGTGTTACCTAATAATCATATCAAAAATTTTAGGAGAAATATTTGGCTTGGTAAAATTAATCATATTATCCTTCTTCGTAATCCAATACTGCGATAAAGCTCTTTTAAAATAAGGCGATCGAGATTTCAAAATGATGGAATGTGCTCGAAATTCTTTAATATCCTGATTTTCTCCCACTTTGATAATGACATCATAATCGTCTGTATCATCAAGCAATTTAGAAAAGTTTTGAGACAATCCAGTTAAGAATTCGTATGCCATTTTCAATGAATTTTTTTTTTAACGGTGAGATGATTGAAAAAGGAGGACAATTGGAATATGAAATTATTGACTTTATATTGTGAACAATTGGAATATTGTTTTGTTTCACAAAATTCAAAAAAATCTCCGAATTGGTTATATTGATCGACATGAAAAAACGCCACAATCATGATGTTATCACATGATAAAAAATATAATTGTAAACTTTATTAAAGGAGAATTATTATTCAATTTTGATAAAATCTAAAAATTTCCATTTTCTCAATAGTAAAACTGTTTGTATCTAAAATTTCACTTTTATAATAAGCTTTCTTGCATGTGCCAGCATCTCCATTGATAACTAAATCGCTATTGCCAAAATTTAATGGTACATTTCGATAATTCGATTCATACATTGCATAATTACTATTTACAACCCGACTAATCTTAAAATTATTCAAATTGTTTCCATCACCTAAAGAAAAAATAAAGCTTTCACTAGTATTATTCCAATAGTCGTTCTCGTTATAATTATATACATCATCATCATAATAATCATCATAATAATTACGGTAACCTTGATTTTGATTGGAATTCCAACCAAGTGGATTATATCCTCCAATTATAGTACCATCCTCTTTGGTTTTAATAATCAAAACGCATGCTCTTTGTCCATTACACTTGCTACGTATAGTATTGATACCATAGCCGTCTCTACTTCCACGATAAATAAGGTTAAAATTATACTTTTTATCCTTTGGAATTCTCGCATTAGCATCTCTTCTTTGAATCCAGTTAGCAAGGATAGCCGCAAGTTTTGGTTTAATGATCATTGAATCAATGGGAACTTTTTTATAACAAGGAAGCAATTTATGTTGATTGGGCACGATATTTTACATATGAAACGACACCATATCTTCAAAGAGTGCTCGAGGTAACACTTTCTTAAAAGGCCAAATCTTACTATGAAAATCTTTTGAAGTAATTTCGAAAAAACGGATATGTGAGATAAATTGGTTCAAAGTATTCTTCAAAGCCAAGAAATCTTTTTTATTCCAACTACCTAAATTAGAAGTGTCTTTCCCTCTCAATTCCAAAGTTTGAACAATTCCCCATTTAATAAGATAATTCCATAATACAATTTCATCAATTTGTAAATCTTCTCTTTTGATCAATCCAAGTAGAATACTTTCTTCTAAAGTTGGAAAATTTGGCGAATTAAAAAATGGTTCAGGATCATCACAAATCGTTTCTAAACAATAATCAAGAAGTTGTTTGCAACTTTCCAGTTGAAAAATCGTGTGAAGAACTTTGACGAGATTTTGTTGCAACCACTTTTCTTGATTTTTAATCAAATAATTTTGTACAAATTTAACCAACTCTTCAATGAGCAATTCATCAGACTCTACAAGAAGATCAAGGATATCCGAACCATCTTTTTTTCGTAAATCAAGAACGCCAGTATAGATAAACCTAATCAAAAAAAAAAAATGTTTTTTAACTTTGTGATTTCAAATCAAAATTATTAATACGAGTAAAATATTACCTAATAATCATTTCAAAAACAGTAGGAGAAATATTTGATTTTGTAAAGTTAATCATATTGTTCTTATCCTTTGTAACCCAATCCTTAGAAAGTGCTCTTTTAAAATAAGGAGATCGCGCTCTCAAGATATTAGAATGCGCATGAAATTCTTTTGTATTGGGATTTTCTCCAACTTTGATAATAGTATTATAGTCATCCGCATCTTCAAGCAATATAGAAAAATTTTGAGATAAACCAGGAAAAAATTCGGAAGCCATTTTATAAAATACTCTTAAAAATTATTCCCTTTTTTTTTTTTTTAATAAAGTGCGAGAAATCAAGCTTATATAACGATAAATCAAGTCACTATTTACATTTTCGTCACATCATTTTTTTAAACAATTAACAAATAAACGCCATAACAATTAATTTATTTGATCGGGGTATCAAATATCTATAAGAAAAACATACCGATCGTACCAAGACAAAAACGAAAGAAATAAATAAAAAAATCAAGATTCGCCAATTATCAAAATAATTCTTAACCATTTACAAATTGTCATGTTCACCAACAAAGAAAAGAGATTAGTAATTATTAATTTAATAAACAATCAAAAAAAATAAATGATATAATATTTCATACTTTTCACCTGAAATTCTGCTAATTTTTCAGGATCTAACCAGATTTAGATTAAGAGAGCGCAAACAAATTTGATTAAAACTTTTTATATATAAGGGTTAAGCTAAACTTTTCTTATAATCTAAAAAATTGTAATCTTACTGTGAAAATTCCTTTTAAATGACCTTCAAATTTCTTCCTAGATTGTCTCGAAGCTTTTCTCAATTGCTTGATGATACAGACGATTATGATGTCATTATCAAAGTGGGAGAAAATCCAAATATTAATGAATTTCGAACACATTCTGTTATCTTGAAGTCTCGGTCGCCTTATTTCAAATGGGTTCTCTCGCAGGATTGGATTACAAAGAAGGATAATGTAATTAACTTTAATATACCAAATATTTCTCCTAGTATTTTTATGATTATTAGGTAACAAGAATCCATGTAATTTTAAAAAAGTATTTCAGGAATTATTGCCTACATTTTTACAAACTGGTATCGACGCATGAAATTGACCAATAATATTCCTGGATTTTAAAAATTACGAAAGAGAGCGATTGCTTACTAATTTTAATTTGCTTTTTTTTTTTAGATATATGTATTCTGGTATACTTGATTTGAATGAACAAGCTGATATACTTGACCTTATTATTGCATCCGATGAATTACTTCTTGATGAGTTGGTTGCCTCTGTGCAAGAGTATGATTAAATATCAAACCAGATGGTTACAACAACATTTTGTTAAGGTTCTTAACACAATTTACCAGCTAGATAACTGCAAACAACTCCAAAATTATTGTTTAATGACCATTTGTAACAATCCTGATCCTTTTTTTAATTCTCCAGATTTTTCAACATTGGAAAAAAGTATTCTGCTTGGATTAGTTAAAAGAGAAGATTTAAAAATTGATGAAATTGAATTATGGAATTGTCTTATTAAATGGGGGATGGCTCAAACTTCGGAATTGAGAAAAAAGGATGCGACGAATTTAAGTAGTTGGAGTGAAAAGGATTTTATGGCTTTAAGAAATTCTTTGAATCAATTTATCGCACATATTCGATTCTTCGAAATTTCTTCAAAAGATTTTCATATTAAAATTTGGCCTTTCAGGAAAGTGTTACCTGAAGCACTATTCGAAGATATCGTGTTATATTATATCATAAATTTTAAACCTGTTCAAAATAAATTGGTTCCTCGTCATGGAAAAGGTGATGGTACATGTTTTATTATTTTGATTTCAATTTTGACAATAATTACATTATTATTATTAGCGGTTCTAGCGGGCGATGAGAAAAAGTTTGAACATTTATAATAAATTATGTTTTATAAATAACTAACCCTAGCCCTAATCTTAATGCTGTTAAGCTAAACACTACGTCGCTAGGTTAACAATTCTTATTGCTAACGAGGAGTTTAAGTTTATTAAACTATGAAAGAAAATAAATTAATTAAGTTGAAGGGAAGAATTGAGAATAGAAAAATATAAGTTTTATGTAGTTAAGATTATACTTTATTGAGAATTATAATAATGAAGCTTGTCCCTTTTATCAAGACGATATTTATATAAATACAAGTATAATAAAGAGATATTAAATATAATAATGAGATCTAAGATAATAAATATAGCTATAAAAATAATAATAACAGATATTAAAAAAAACTATGATAGCCGTTATATTAGTGAAATCGGTGATTTTGTAATCGTGGCGCAGTCATTTTGCGGCGCATATGGTTTATTAATAACTTGTAAATTGATTTTTTTAATAAATCACCTAATCCTAATCCTAACCCTAACTCTAATCTAATCATAACGTTAACTCGTCATTAATAATAACTCAAATTTTAATTTTAACACTAATTTGTTTTTAATTAATTTAACCCATATTTATAAATCTAATACTATTTATAATGATAACTAATTAGTATTTTTAATTTATTTATAATAGTTGATTGATTTTTTTTAATTAATTGTAAATTTAATTTTTATTAATTATTTTGTTTCAAAATTTTAAATTAAATATTTTAATATTAATTTTAATTGAATTCATACGATTAGGTTTTAGGGATATGGTTTGGTTTATTGCGTTAGGTTTAAGTTAGTTGGGTTCAGTTTTGATTGGGGTTATGAGTTTGGTTAGAATCGGATTATGGTGGGTTTAAGTTTGGGTATAATTGGGTTGTATTGGGTAGAGTTGGATTCGGCACATGGTTGGGTTAAATTCAGGTTATGATTGGTATTGGATTAATTTTATTTTTTTAATTCCATTTTTTATTTTACTTAAGATTAATTTCAGATTCAATTTATTTTGCATAATTTCGGATTTAATAAGTTTTTTTAATTAATTATTTATTTAATACCAAATTATTTTTAATTTTCGTAATATGGGCAGTTTGCTATTAAAATCGAGTTACATAGTAAATCATATGATTTTTAACGTGATTTTAATAGCTTACTTCCCATATGTTTCATTTTTTTTCGGATGTATTTAATTTTTTTTTTTTTTTTAATTTAATTGCGATTTAAAATATCGAAAATATATATATATATATATTTTTTTTATAGGTATTCATTTTTTTTATTTTAAATATAGATGCGACAAACACGTGATCTCGCATCCAATGACCGAAAATTTTTCTAATCTCCGATATTAATTCCCGAACCGATGCTGGTCAGGTCAACAAATCTAAGATAATTAACTTTTTATAATTAAAACTATTTTTTTTAGTTGTCTCTTTTAGTTCAAAAAAAGAAGTACATGAATTATAAATTTTTTTTGTTGTCTCTTAATTCAGAAAAAGAAAGTACATGAATTACAAATTTTGGATTATAAAACATCAAATGTTAATGTAAATGTTCTGGACCAATTCATCAATAATAGTTTAATACATGAATCTCTTGCCAATTCGTAAATGTCATGTTTCTTCTAATTTCAACCGAGCAAGATCCGCAAGTAACATATTGAACGTATTAAACAGATGATTTGAAAGTTTGTGAAACGACTGAGATCTTGTTTGAATTAGTTCCTAAATAACTCCAAAGATCTAGAAAAAGATATCATTTTAAACTTTATATCCTACCTGAAGAATATATTAACAATTTAATATTTATCATCTGTTATACTTTGGATTAGTAATCGGAAAACATGATTAGAGTTGACATGAACCCTGTACTTGGATTAGGAACAAATAATGCTATACAAGATGCCGATTTTCTCTCTCAATATTAGCTGTTTATCAGTATATTCTATTTCTTGAATTTGAAAATGAA